GAGGGGACAGGGTATTGTAAATAATATGAGTCAAAAGCAGATGTTTGAGGACCTGATTTGTATATACTGGTTTTATTTTGCATCCTTTTAGAAAGAAGAGAAAAAACATTTTCTGTTTCTGAATCAGTTGGCTTTTGAAAATTAATAAGCCTGTTGTTATCCACTCATACTGCTGAGTGACCTGCTTTTATTGTGCACTGAGGTGCAATAAAATAAAAAAGGAGATGCTGTGAAAGAAAACTTAGAGGCATTATTTGAATGCGTAACCAAGTTTGTTTACTTGAAAAGAACAATAACACTGTAATGAATGTCTGGTGTAGAGTTAAGTACATCCTTGTCCAAATTTGATTTATGTGATCGTTTCTGGATGTTAACTCAACCATTGTTAACATAACCTCTGTAATTTTTATGTTCATTCTGCCTGCGGGCACATGCAGCACAGCAATATGAAAGAAATCTGAAAGAAAACTCGTAGCAGTTCCTACTGCAGGAAACCTCTTTCCCTGAAATAACAGAGTTTGGGGTGTAGTGAGCTGTAGATTGTGGTAGAGCAAGCAGATCTATGTAACTGGAGGAGCTGTGTTAGAAAATAGAATGGAAACATTGATTCCTAGAGCTTATTAACCTCTTGAAGTCTATATGCAGTATCCAGAAATTGTCCATGATCTGGTAGCAAGTACACATGATATGGATGTCAAATGACCTAACGAAGAGTGCAGCTACTCTTGCTGCCTGCTAAAACACATCAGGAGATGCACTGTGAGCACAGGCAAGCTGTGTTTTTGAAAGCAGATGTTAAGCTTTGTGACAAAAGCTTATATGAACGCTTCTGTAGATGTATAGGTACATATAGGTACAGTCCCTACAGTGACTTTGTTTAATATACAAAGATGAGATTCTCCAACCACCATGCTAGGCAGAAACTCAACAGGATAAGAGAATGTGCATCTTTGAGAGACACGTGATCCTTTTTTAGGTAAACAAAACATTCAGAAGTTGCAACAATGATTAAAGATAAACACAGTTCTCAAGAGAAGTTTTATGGGTATAAACAAAAGATGCTCTTGCTTGTCTTTCATGTTCATTTCAAAATTGCACATAATTACTACATCCTTCCCATGTGAGCCTTGCAGCTTGTTTTCCTGAGCCAGACAACATAGCATATGTTTTAGTACCCCTAGTTCCACAACTGAAGTTGACTGGTATCTGTGAAGACATTTTTGATTCACTTGTAACTCATTTTAATCTAATTAGAAATAGCTTTTAATTAACCCATAAGTTTCAAAGTCATTGCATGACTTAAATCAGGTGTAATCATCAAAATTTTACATTTACAATTTAAATTGAAATTTAGAATTGTCAATTAGGATGTGGTATGTTCAGAGTGTAACTGTTATTCACATAAACCTTTAACTTCATCTTAAGATTGCATCTCAATTTTTCTGTCAGCTGCTGGATCCCGTACATTAGGAATGGCTCTTCACTGCTGGGAGATTCTGTCCCAGTTGTTGAGCTGAAAGACAGAATTTCAGCATTCGCTCTGAACTGCTTCACTGTTTGCTCTTGTGTTTTAAGCATCCTTTTTGTCTCTGTTTCATATGGTTGTATTTTTTGTTTGTTTAATATTGATTCAGAGAGGGCTGATGAGATGGTAATGATTGGGTGTTGTGCTTGGAGAGGGGCAGAGTGTTAGACCAAAGTTATGTAAGGCCCCATCATAATGAGATACATTACTGAGGATGGTGTAGTAACCCAATAAAGGTCACAGCAATAATTTGACAAGTCCTATGACTCATAGACAAATCAATTATTGCTGGAATGACCATGGACACGGTTTTAGCACGATAGCCCTTAAGCATGTGGATAGAATGCAGTGCAGGATTTGGACTGTTCTGTCAAGAGCCCAATTTGAAAATACACTTCCTATAATTCTCAATCAATAACATGAGTTCCTTCTCATAAGAATGGAAATACAGGACAACAGATTATTGTGCGTAACATTTTTGCATAACATATTGTAATATAGTGCTCATCTGAAGCAGCAGGTCCTGTTTCAGAGGTGCTGTCTGCTGGTGGTCCACGGATTACATTTCGTTTGAGATCTGTGACAAACTTATGGAGCAATATAACAAAGCAGCAGCAACAAATTTAACGGTTCAATTCAGAAAGTGTGTTCACAATAAGAAATTATTTATTTCAACCTGAGGTGTTAGTGTTTTGGTAAGTATTATCTGCTCTACTGAAATAGCCTGGCAATACACAGAATAAAATATGCACTTCTTCAAGTGTACAGCTGCTTGTTGGGACTCTGCCCAAACCTTCACCTCTAGATCATCCATAGGAACTCCACATCTGAGTTTTAAAGGAAGGGTAAAGGAAAATAGGTGGTAATTTCAGTCATCCGTGTTTAACTGAGAAAACAGATGTAAACTTAGATAAAAATTAGTTGGAGCAACTACCTGTTTTTAATGCACAAAATGGAAGTTTTCCATACATTAAAATACAAACTCATTACCTGGAAGCAGTGACTGGTTTTAGGCAAAGTTGAGAAGTCAAGAAACAGCTGACACAAGTTTTAAAAGGGAATTAATTTTAAGAGGGTTTTGGTATTTGGGAATTAAACTGAATGCCAGCAACTTCTTAGAAGTTCACTTCTAAGTGAAAGGAAATGCAAAAGAATAAATAAATAAATAAATAAATAAAAAAATTTAAAAAGTCTAACAGTTCTTTCACGTCACTGTATAACTAGGCACCTATGTTAATCACCCTTTCAATAAACCATAAAATTGTTCCAGTATTTAAAATGTGAGAGAGAGTTAAGGCAGGTACTGGCACAGGATAAGTGAAAATCTAACCTTCTGGCTGTTACAGTAGTGACATTGTTACTGTCTGCATTCTTGGTTTTTCAAGTTGTAATAAAATTATTGTGTGCTTTTGTGTTATGAACACAATGGGTACCCACAAGAAGCCTGCAACAGGTCTAAGAAAATACTTCAGCTATTGTTACTCGGTTTTGTAAGTACGTTTTTGGTGGTTGTTACTGACTATCTGTCACTCAGTAGCGGTGATGTTTGATAGCAGTTGGATTACATACAGAAGAAACTTGCTACAGAAACTGCTCACATCTGGTCTTGGAGAAATCAAGCACTGACCCATCTAAGGTTCAAACAAACTAATAACTTCTCTGGAAAAAAAAAAAAATAAGAATAGTAAAACTCATAAGAGTAGCATACAAAGTCATATTTTAATTTCATAGCAGAAAAAAGGTTCAGCATTTATATATAAAATGAAATAGCAGAATAGAGATAGACATCTTCAGTTCATGGGCGTTTTTTCCGGAGCTCTTATTTAAACCTGAAATCCAGTGAATTACTGTGTGGCATCTTATCTTAAGCAATCATTACTGTTCTGTGAAAGGAGTGCTTAACCTTCAGTTTCTTACAGTGTTCCTCTCATCAACAAAACTCTGTTGAATCTTAATAGCCTTTAACAAATGTCCAGTTTGTCCTCTCTTTTTCCAAAACTTATACCAGACTACATAATGAAAACACTGCAACTGTATGTGAGGTTCTGTTAAAAGTTCAGGTGAAATAACCTAAACCACTATCAGCTTTAGGAAGCCTGCATATTGTTCTTACTAACAATAAAGTAATTTAATTACTCTGACTACAGATTTAATCACTGTGTAAAAACTACCTTGGTTTTTGTGGCACATTTAGCCAGATATGAAAATTTCCTAGTATTAGGAAATTTCAGCATTAGGGAATTAAAATTATCCTGATACTGAGTGAGAACAATGTATTCTTTTGTGTAACTAAAAAATGAAGGAATTGCCTTTATATGCTTCCTTTCCTAAGTGGAGGACTGAAATATATATTTTTTTTAATTTATAATTTGCTTTACTATGTAAGAAGGATAATTATTAACCTATTATTGCTTCTTTTTCTCTTTTCTGTCTTCTTCCAAAACTGGTTCATGCATTTGTGATTTCAGACTGTATTTTGAGGTCTTTTTTGGTGTGGCTGGTTTTGTGGTGTTTGATTTTTTGTGAATTTAACCTGAGAGCAGGAAACTACCCTGTGTAAGGAAGTGCTCTTAACTTCTTGCAAGCTCTGTCTGTAGAGAGAAGCCTCCTGCCTGCACGCCTGCAAAAAGGAGTATCATCTTATTACAGATCATAAAAAATGATTTCTATTTGTTCACCAGCAACCACTCATGGTGCTGTGTCAGTGGCATAGATGCCTGTCCTTTGTCTCATTTGCTATCTGTAGCTTCATATTAATTCCCTCATCACATGCTGCAAGAGACCATTCAGAAGGATAAGATGTTCAAACAGCCATATGGGTGTTTTCTACTTCGTCCCATTCACCTCCCTCTCACTGTACCTTGGTTTTAGCATATGCATTTTCCAGAAGATTTGAAAAAAAAAGTTCTTACTGTTTTCAATCCTCCTGCTATGTACTCCATTAAGGTTTAAGTTGATTGTTCTGTATGCTAGTGCCCTGCAATGCTGATGTATTCTCACGACCCTTCTGTGAAGTAGCAAGGTAATGCTATTTTCAGTTTTATAGATGCAGAACAGAGGCACAGAAGAGTGAGAGCAGGTTTCCCATGCCTGACTCTGCCTTGTCACTTAGGCTTCCTCTGCACATCTACGGTTAGGTGATATATTACATAATAATGATATATTACACCCCTGGTGATTTAGCCTGGATCGCATTAAAGGCTGTGGCAGGCAGTCTCTTCAGCTCAGACTTTCCAAGTCCTACATTAGTGCTCTGTCTACTGGGACATATTTTCTTTCTGAACTAAACAAATATACTGTACTGAAGTATAGGAATTTGAATACTGCCCCTTCATAAGGATTGGCAAGAAACATGAACTTGATGACTTCTGTTATCATTATCACAGCCTTTTTGCTATTTCTCTTTATTTAAATAATTGAGACTGTCATCCTTGATCTTGGGTTTCATGGTTTCTGTACTGATTCTTTTTCACAGATACAACACTCTCAGGGGAAATTGGCACCAAGAAAAAGGTGAAAAGACTGTTAAGTTTTCAGAGGTATTTCCATGCATCCCGGTTACTGCGTGGAATTGTACCGCAAGCCTCTCTGTACCTGCTGGATGAGGACTACCTTGGGCAAGCAAGGGTAAGAAAGGTCTCCAGACCTCCATGTCTTTTAATAATATTCCAGACTGTCAGTTCTGTCTCAGTGTTTAGAGACAAAAAAGTGTATGGTTGATGTTTCTTAAATGACCCGTGTTACTTGCCTGTCTTACAGAAAATGTACTGTCCATTCCTCTTTCATATTTACAACTTGAAAGACTTAATCTCAAGGCAACAAGAAAATGTCTGAATTTGTTCCGCAATTTCAGGTTCTCTCAATTGAAATTATAATCTGGATTTATTAAATGAAGTATCCCTGACTGAGTAACTGATTTAAATACATACAACATCAATGCAAGATTTAATTTATCTGCTCAGAAAAGAAGAAAACAAGGAAAAAAGAAAAAAGAAAAAAAAGCCCCTGTCTCACAGCTGGTCCAGAGCAGCTGTTAGGCAACCTACAAGAAAACCCATAATGGCAAAGTTGGCAAAATGGCAAACAGGGAACAATCACTGGATAGAACTTCATGATAGTCATAATATTATAATTTTGCAGCTCTTATGCTTCCTGTTAAAGACATTGCTAACAAAACTGATGGCACTGAGATTACGTGCCTAGAAAATTTTTACTCTCTGCAGGAAAAGGTTACGTATGAGGTGTTAGGAAATAATTAAGAATCCAGAACTAGTTTGAATATAGACAAAGCAATTGGAGTGAACACCCATTTGCCATTCATATATGTATACGTCATACCGTTTGTTCAGTCTCGATCTCTTAGCTGAACTGATGCAGCTGTAAAAATGCTACATATGGTAGCAATAATGGATCCTTCTGCATGGCTGAGTGTGTTTCACAGAAACACTTTAAATTCATAAAAATTGTACTTGGGTTACCTGTTTATCAAAATGTAATTCATATTCTCCATGAGATCTAAAGTTGTATTTTACTGTAATAAAATCCTAAGACAGTTTGTAATGAATTGATTTGGGGACATGAAAGAATGTTAAAAAAGTTGTGCAATAAAAGTAATTGTTTTCATAATATTTTATGTTATTCCATGTTTTGTGCTCCATTTGAGGCCTTTTTAAGTGTCAAGTTTGAAACCTCCTCAGTTAAAAGTGCAAGTGATACTTTTATGCAGTGTAACTAAATTTGGTTCCTGGCTTCTGATAACTTCAAATACATGTCTATACCTTTCCAGAACAAAGTTTTAAAGTTGTGGCAACCAATTCTGTGATTAATATGGAATAATAATTTAAATCTGCTTTACAGTTTGATATATCCATCATTTGCCTCTTTGAATTTGTTTTTCTAGCATATGCTATCCAAAGTGGGAATGTGGGATTTTGACATTTTCTTGTTTGACCGCTTGACAAATGGTAAGTAATTTCAAAAGAAATGTGTGTATATATTTAAGATCTTTTTATATACGACTATCCTAAAAATTCCTAAGTAATATTTTGCTAAACTTTTCAAGTTTAGATTATTGAAAAAAAATTGATACAATTAACTCCTTTTAAAATCATACCCTTGAACATTTCAGGCTTTTCCCAGAATATTCAGAACTATAGGATAATGTTTATAAAGTGTATTTTTTGCATTAATCTAATCTCTTACATTTATTATGATCACCTTTTGCTTGTTTATTATGAATTGTTTGTTAGTTTCAAGGAAGTATTTCAGTTCCCTTTATGGGAAACTCCAAAGTTACTTTAAGATAGACCTATGAGATACATTGGTTGCTATGTTGATAATCAGGCAATTTCCGTCAATATAAAGTACCTTTAACCAAACATATCCTTGCTTTGTGTTTATTCTGGATAGAAAAATAGTAAAAGTCAATAAAAAACTAAAACTTTGTGAAACTTTTTATCTAAATATATGCCTGTAACAGCACATCCTCACTGATGTCTACGCAGTGCCTCTTACTCAGGTAGTTACTGAAGAGGACACAATCACACCATTGGCCTTTCTGAATTGCTTAAAGAAATTAGGCTCACCCCTCAATTCAAGTAGACTCAGCTGCAGCAGATGATGTAGGAGGAGTTGGTTTAGAGGTTAATTTAGCTGAGTGACTGGCAGGGAAGAGTGGAAAGGATGGCAAATAGCAAGGGATGTGAAAACATAATTCTTCTAAATTACCTTTCTACTTTCTATGCCCTTAGTCAGTAGCCAAGGCCAAGTAAGTTTCCATGTCTTCTTCATACATATGTTTGTTTTCTTTCCCGAGTTATATTAAATGAGAAAAGACTCCCTTCAGACATTGCTTACACTTTGTATGGGTTGGTTGAGGTTTTTTCTGAATTTTTCTGGAAACATTGGTACTGAATTATACAGTGCAAACAGTTCTAAACATTGTGTATATGTCTAGTATAGTATAGTTGATATATAATTGATATCTAGACTCAATTTTGTCAATGTTGCCAGTATTAAATTCACAGTAAGACCAATATTACAGTGGGACTTGAGACTGTAAATGCAGTAACTCATTTTTTCCTGTTTGCATCATCGTTGTGAGATGCAGCTGTAGGTGTGAAAGGTATGTAGATTGTGTACGTATTTGATTTGTACAGCCATTAAAAAAAAAAAAAAAAAACTTTAATTACAAGCTGCAGAATTCTCATTAATTAATTACGTAGTACAATACAGCAAGCCAAAAAGGCAGAAGAGCCATTCACTCTTTCTTTCATTTCTGGAGGTAACCTGGATTATGAAGATGATGTGGTTCTCAAACAATCTTGTCAAAAGATTTCCAGTTGAACTATGTTAATTGGCCTCCTGTGTCATGCTGAAATAGCAAGCACGACTTCATGGCAACTAGACAACAGAATGGCACTGACACAGCCATGCTGTCAAGTCTTGATTGTATAAGGGAGTAATTTAGATAAGCTACTTTATGAGTGTCATCTAATCAGATGTGAATAGAGCTAAGGTGATAGGAGCTGACTAATAGTTAGGAAACTACCAAAATTTTTAGTCTTGTGTGGTTGGTAACTCCATGTTAAAGGAATCTGAGAGTTGTTCCTCTCTGCTTTTAGGAAACAGTCTCGTAACACTGCTCTGCCACCTCTTCAACGTGCATGGACTTATTCACCATTTCCAGCTAGATATGGTTACGTTACATAGGTTTTTAGGTAAGTGGTCACCTCCAAATTGTTGTTAAATGCAGGTTACAGCTTAAGTAGGGCCGCAAAAAAAGGTCTTGTCTTGTTCTGCCTATCTATGTAAAATCACAATGCTGTTACAATAACTTCAGTAAAACATTTCTGTGATATATATAAGTGTACAATTTACAGGTACCTGGACTCTCAGTTCAGTACCTGTTAAGTCAGTGGAGAAACTTAAAAGACTTTGTATTGGACTTAAAAATCCCAGTACTACAGTTTCACTGATGATTTAAAAAAAAAAAAGTATGTCGTGCAGAGATGTGGCAGGCGGAGGAGGCCCACACAGGCAGACACACATTGCAGAACCTACCCGTGCACAATACAATTGTGGTACAGCAACATTATTTTAGTGACTAATAGACCACTGAGACCCAGGGCAGTTAAAAGCTTATGTGCAAAATTTAACAAATTATATCAAGCTGTCTACACTGAACAGTGTTGATGAAAGCCCCTGCTGCTGTTACTGCCAACAGAAATATTAGCCCCATGCTGTCAGCGAACCAAAAGAAGAAATTGGCCAAAATCAATTGCTTTCTGCATCATGTTTTGAATGCAGCTGAATGCCGTTTTGTTTGACTGTCAGACAACATTTCAAAGGCAGGATCTCTTCTTTACTAACACACGACTGTTCCTTCTGGAAGGCTTTCCTCCAGTGTGGAGAGAGACGACTTCTCCTTGCCTTTGCTAGCTCCTGACACGAGGTGGATGTTCAGATAATTAGAGCCAGAATTAGTTAGGGTTTAAAGAGTTACTGACTGTAACTTCAAATGAGCTGAAAACAAACTGAAGGCTAGGACTCCTCTGGAATGGCCCATGCTGGAGGTGAGCACTGTCGTAATTTTGCCCATTGCCTTTCTGTCTCATCAATTTGATGGTGTCAAGGACAGCATTTTGGGCAAGGCCGCATGCGGCTTCCACCATTCAAGTTGTGTTGCCCCAAGATCCCCTGAGTGCGGGCACTGCTGCAAGGAGAAGATGAGCTTGAAGCACAAACCTCAGTGGTTTTCTGTACTAGTGCAAGATGAGAGTTGAGTGGCACTCAGTCTTCAGATGGTACACTTAAAGCTCCACAAACTGACACAAAAAGGACTGGTATTTTAAAATGGAAGCATCGTGTGGTTGTCACAGAAGATTTTGATTCAAATAACCAAATGCCCTATCTTTTGATTTTCAGTGGGAATGCCTTGAACTGTAGTCCTTGAACAGCAAATGGTGCCAGGATGTCAGGGCCTCTCCCCCTGCTGCTATAAAATAGGCAGTACTGCTGTAATGACATATTACTCCCCTATGACAGCAGCCTAAATAATTACACTCCGTTGTGGATAAATTTGCCTTTCTTCCTTATTTATTTTACTCCTGAATGAGAGCCTTCACTAAGGCAAGAAAGAGTTGATTTATGAACTAGACCCAGTGTATCCCCATGGGCCTCACAAATCCTTTCATGCATTTTTTTTTTCTGAAGGTATCCCAATAAGAGCACCAGTCTAAGTAAGCTACAGGTATTTGAAGAAACCCCATAGGTAGCTGACTGAAAAACCCCAAATTGTATTTTAAGTCCAGTTGCCAGTTGTGGGCATGGAATCCAGAGACAAAAGGGTCTTTGTTTTCTGTTTTGGTTCCCAGTTATGGTTCAAGAAGATTACCACAGCCAAAACCCATACCACAATGCTGTCCATGCTGCTGACGTCACACAAGCTATGCACTGCTATCTAAGGGAGCCCAAGGTAATGACAGCCTTTCATGCTGATGTTGCTTTCAGATAATTCTCAAATTGCTTTCTCAGGATTAAAAAACGAGCAAATGTCAACAACAACAATAAAAAACTATATTTAGATAGCGGAAAATGACTGTGTACTTGAAGTCACCAACAAGTCAGTAGCAAAGTCAGCTACAGCTTCCAGACACTCCAAGCAAGCTACTGAAATCTCTTCCCATAGTGCAGATGATGTATCTGAGCTCTATTAAATGAGCTCTGGCAAGTTCTGCTGTGGCAGTGTGCACCAGCCCTCCACCTGGGGTGGCAGTGCTCCCAGCAAAGCCAGTAGAAGGCAATGTCTGCCCATGCGTCAGCCACTACAGGGAATACGCCCCTCACATCAATATTTCAAAGTACTGAATATGGCATTGGGACACCAAAAGTGGGCACGCATTTTAGCGTATGCTACTATACACCGACCTGCTTGTACACTTACTTCCTTTTTTTAAACTGAATCTTCTAGACTAAGCTCAAACACTCATATAACAAGCCATATCTTGTCCTGAAAAATAAAAGGATAAGGAATACAAGCTGTTGTAACATGTGAATGTAGTCTGATGTACTTTATAGTTTTTTTTTCAATAATGGCTTCAAAAAGATTGAGCATGATTAATTTTAGTTTTGACATCTGTGTACTCCTACAAAACTGAGCAGTGCCATGATGTCAGCTGGTTTGTTTATCTGCCAAAGGGGGTGGGGGGGAAGGGGGAAGTGTTTACTGTTTGTGTTCTTGTTGTGATTAATGTGTGATTCAGCTTGCCAACTTCCTCACCCCATCGGACATCATGCTTGGACTGCTAGCTGCTGCAGCTCATGATGTGGATCATCCAGGGGTCAACCAGCCCTTTTTGATCAAAACTAAACACCACCTTGCCAGCCTGTACCAGGTAAAAACACTCTTCAGACTGTTAATATGTAAAATAATGTCAAGGAGGGTCTAAGCAACTTGCAGTGAGCTTTCACAATCATGAATGACCCAAATTGTAAGTCTGAACAATTTCAGCTATGCTTCTCACTGGGCATCTTTTCTTATAGCAAAGCTGCTGGACATGAGAAGAAAGAAGTTAGAAATATGCAGTTTTGTTGAGGACATTTAAGCCAAATCAGTTGCTTTGGTTATTTCTAATGTAGATTATCTGGGTTAAGGAGTTCTGGGTAGGAGATTTAAAATCAGAGATACGGTTTGTTTCATTTTCCTTCAGCATAGAAGTAAACTACAAGAATGTCTTAAATTGGCATTTTGTTAAAAGAAACTTCAGCTTCATGTGGCTATAGGAAAACTGAACGTTTCACGAATGTTGCAATTTTAAAAAAAAATAGAAGATAGAGGGGAAAAAATAGTTGTAGATATTTACACAACCATGCCTAGAGATATAAAGCAGCCACCATAGGTCATGCCACAGGCTGTTTAGACCTGTATCCTGTTTCTAAGAGCAGACAGTAAAGCATCTCAGAGAGAAATACAAGCCTGGGGTAAGTATAGTGTTGTCCTTCACCTGGTATATATCCTCTTGTTCAAATAACTATCAGCGAATTCATCCTCTGCTGATTTTTGTGGTCCTTCCTGAACATATTTCCAGCTTTGGTCCATGGCAATTACTGTAGCTCTGGATTTTATCTATAATTATCATATATGTACAATCAAGCTATCTACGTGTACGTGTACTTTATTGTATATGCACATCTTTATTCTTTGCATTATGTTTATATATACACACTTGGGCAATGCCATAAATCATTTTGGTTGCACTAACTGTAATTCGTAGTTAACAAATGGAGATTGTAGTGATTTCTATCCTTTGGAAGAATTGGCTTCAGCCTTTTTAAAAAGGTGTCAGAATCAGAATATCCTCAGTTAAAAATAAACCTAACCGAGGAAGACTCACTAATAGCTGGGTGCCTTTCTATACATAGTTAGTAAATGAAGAGTTTGCTGTGATTTGCTAAGTACTTGTAAGGAGGTTCTGTCTTGTTTTGCCCTGCTCAAGCAGCACTGGTGTTTAACATAAGTTGGATATGTAAGGGTTCGGTTTTCCTTCAGCCCTGGGAACAAGGCTGAGCCATGGGAGCCCCAGCCAGGACATGGTAATGTTCAGAGACTCCAAACCTTGTGACTGGCCTAGTCACAGATTGGAGATCTTTCAATAGTCTTAAGTAAAAAAATAAAATAAAATAAAATAAATAAATATAAATATAAAAAATATAAATAAATAATAAAATAAAATAAAATAAAATAAAATAAAATAAAATAAAAAATAGGATTTTTTTCTTTCCCAGTCTTGGGAAACCCAGTTTTAGGGTTCAATCCTCTGATACGACAGAGACTTCCTAGCATTCAGTCTTTAAAATAAATCTGTGCTACTCATGGTTTTTCAAAAAATAAGAAGTGGTGAAGCAACCTCTCTCAAAATCACAGTTGAAAACACCAGTCTGTAAGCCATCACATAGATTTTTTCCTGGCATGGTTTATCTCCTATCCCCCAGCCTAAGCCATCAGATAACTAATGGCAATTAGACTTAATAAGGCAGTAGAGTGTTCCTGGGTGGAATAGCTGACTACTAATTGTTGGCAACAGCTTCGGGGATTCTGGCTGCTTGCATTTAACAGGGGAGTCATATGACTTCATGCTCAGTTGTCACTTGTTAACTTGACCTCTCCTTTTCCCTGCTCCCTGTACTTTAAACATGAGATACTAGACACTGTAGCGGCTTCGATTTAAGTTCTCATATAGCAGCAGGCAAAGATCAGAAATTTACAGGAGTGGAAATATTCTGGAACGGATACCCAAGTGTGTTTGTTTGTTTGTTTGTTTTTTGAGTAACTATTAGTAGGATGCAAGGAAGTTCTTGGATACCTACACACTCAGTCCTGTTCTGGCTGGCCTTCAGTGTGGCCAAACGTCAGGCAAGCAGGCTTTCCATACGGAGCTTGGGAGAGCTCTAGGCCAGTACAGTAAGGTAAGACAGCCCAGAGGCTGGCAGTCTCTCAAGCTCAGCTGTGAGCCAGTTAGAGAGAAAACTGAAAAAGAGCCTCTTGCCATGCAAATAAAGCATTTGTTTGACAAAGATGGGCGATGCTCCAAAGTGGGAATTAAGTGTGTGCAGGGACCAGCAAGCAACAGCGTGCTCCTTCCTTCCCAGGGGAGCAGTGCTGAGATGTAGATGCTGGCAGGTCCTTCTCTTCACGAGCACAGCAGTCTTAGAGTTCCAGACCACTTGTGGGGAAACAGGGGAGATGACAAAGCAGGTACAAATTTGGGCTGGAAAATGAGTTTCCAGGAACAAAATGAGGTCTGTCAGGGAGGAGGCCAATGAGCCCCAGCTCTCAATGTGCTCTGCTCTGTGAAGGTGGCTAGAAGTGGATACTGCCAATAGAGGTGTGGAGGCAACAGAATCCAAGACACCTCTTTTGGGGTTCCTCTTGTAGTTGAGGATGGATAGGAGAATAAACAGGAAAAATCATCCAATAAACAGTAAGGGAGGTGGGGTTTGGGGGGGGGAGGGGGGGTAGAGAAGCACAGAACAACATAGGCACTTAACACATGAAACTACAGTGTTTTGATTTGAAGTTAACTTTATTCCATATTTTTCCTCAGCTAGCCAGGTGTGATCTGTTTCACAGACAAGCTTGTTCTGCATTCTCTACCCAGAGAACTTTCTGTATTCATCTTGTTAGGTTTCTTTTGAGAAATTGCTTGCACACTGATGCTGACAACCAGGTATTTCAGGCCCCTAAGCATAACGTGTAAGTCATACGTCTTATAGTCAACAAACCCCAGCTCAAAAGACAACTCATCAATATGAAAGGCCTATAGCTTGCGTGGTTGGCTGAATCTGAGACTGAGGTCCCAGAAAATCACAATGTTTGCGGGGAAGTTGACTGAATGATAAGCTGACAGTCAGTTGTAAACTCTTTAACCATGCTGTCTTCTGAAGCACAGAAGGGAAGGATGTATCTGAAGCATCACAGAATGGTAGAAGAGAAATGAAGACAACCCAGTGGGAATTGTTGAGCTCTATCCCACTGCAGCTCTGGAAAGGATGTGGGGGCGTGGGATGCTCTGCAGGGAACCTCGGCTGAGAGGAGGTTTCAGGGGCTGGGGACATCAGATGGGAGCTGCAGGAACTGTGCATGCAGTCATGGTCTGCAGCAAGCATCAGCCTTCCCAAAGGTGACAGCCAGGCAGGGTTTGTCTACTTTACCTTAGGGTAGGAAGACGGCAGCCCATGAACCTGGAGTAACCACTGGTACCAGGATTCAGCTCTGAGATTAGGAAGGTGAAAGAAGAAAAAAGATATTGTGTCCTACTGTAGTCCCTTGTTTTTCTTGGTCAGGGTACAGGGTTGCAAAAGTCCATCCTGATGTATTTAGGCAAAACGAGAAGGATATTTAAGTTGGCTGGTGAACAGAGTTGCTGTCAAAAGTAATTTAGACATTGCCTCGCTTGTTCTGATGGTTGGAAAATTGTTTTTTGTTGTTTGTTGTTTTTTGTGTTTTTTTTTTTTGTATTGGTAATTTCTATTAGGGAAGCAATATGTGAATTCAAAAAGCAGCAGAGCGTAGTGCAGAAAATACAGTAATGGCAAATCAATCAAATTTGTGTGCTCTCAACTTTGCAGTAATTTTGAGCACTAAATGTCAAGAAAATTTTGGAAAGATAGTCAAAATGCAAACTGGATCTGGTTACTGGCAATCTTTTCTGTTTCAGTGGTCGTTCCATACAGTAGGATAACAAAGTAGGAAAGGGAAACCTTAAGGCGAACATAATGCTGAGTCCTTCTTGGAGCAGTGGAGCTGTGCATCACATCCAACAGGAAAGGCAGCACCACTTCAGCTACAACTCAGAGTTGTGTGACTGTGTAGAAAGGAGACAAAGACTGACAGTGGCCAGAGAGAGGGATGCTGATGCTAGTTTCTTAGAAGGTAGCAACAAGGTGGAGTCTTTGTTCTGCTACCTGCCCAAAAGGTTGGGTTGTTTGTTTGTTGTTTGCTTGTTTGAATCTAGTGCTCTTCTACTGAAAAAGCCACAGATAGTGCCCAAAAGATGTTGCAATTCTCCCAAGAGTGTCCCCATTGCTGGGTGACAGTCATCTCACTTGTACTGTGTGCTTTTTGTGTGTGTTCAGGGACTGAGTAGTTCATTGGAGTGTCTTTTGTTGAGCTGTGCCACTGCAGCAAACAGGTTTGAGTTGTAAAAATTGCGCTAGAGGTTTCTGAAAAAGTTACATTGCTGAACTGTTCAGTGGTAGAAAGCATTCTGTGGACTAAATGGCTGATGATTGATAAGTGCATTGTGTGTTAGGACAGTAATATGAAATCATCAGACACAAGATACCCAATTTGTTATAATTTGCAGACGACCTACAAAGCTGTGTTTCTGTTCCCTGGGATTATTGTTTTTCCTGTCTAACTTTGTTTCCACTTAGTTGGAAGCAAACAAACAAGGACTCAAAATTTGTTGCAGACTCTGTTGCTGAAGCCTGCAGATGCTTAGTGATGCTGGTATCTTGTTTTCACTGAGCAGCTGCCAGGAGCTTCCAGTTCCCTGACTTCAGGGGAAGTTTGGCAGTTCAGTTTTCTTTTACTTGTCTGCTCTGCATTCAGACTTAGAACCTGAAAAGTCAGCTTGGGATCAGTACAAGGTAAACCATAAGCTAGATAAGATTTTGCAATCATGATTTAATTATTTTGTTAGTAGATCTTTTAAAATGTAAGCTACCTTGCACTCAGATGTGATTAACTCCTCTGTTCACAGCAGGGCTCAAAAAATGCAGAGTAGGACTCCAGGGTTGACCGTAGCTAGGAAACCTAGAAGCACAACGTCCTTAACTCTAGAAATCCAGAGCACTTCCTCGTACCCAAAAGTGGCTAAAAAGCACACATTTTAGGCTCAAATTCTTTCATTTTGTTACAGAAAATAATTTCCAACCAGCTCTAGGCATCAAGTGATATGGCAAATGTGTATGTGTGCCATGTGCACTTACCTAATCCTTTATGTATTCCTTTTATTCATCCCAGAATGTTTCAGTGCTAGAAAATCATCACTGGAGATCTACGATAGGCATGCTTCGAGAATCACGGCTCCTCGCCCACCTGCCCAAGGAGGTGACGTAAGTGTCAGCTAGAGGAAATCATCACTGAAAAACTAATCCTTGGTTTCCTTCACTCTTCTCAAAAGGACACAGGCAGAGAAGTCAGACTTCAGAGTAGGCTAAACATCCTGCTCTCTCTTGGTGCCAGTATGAAATCACGAGACTAAGTTATACTGCAGAAGTATTTTCTAAGAATTTGCCTCTTCTGCAGCATGAGGATGGACAGAGTCAGTGGAAACATTGGGCATCCCAGCCAGAGCAGACCTTTTCAGATCCATTGTCATTTTTCTTTTACACAGTACCAACCAGACATGGAAAGATTTAATGACTAAAAAGCATGTAGTAGAAAAATCGAGGAGTTGGTTAAGTAGCTTAGAGGTTGCTAAGGAATCCCAGATATTGCAGAGGAGGTGTGGGGTTCCATTTTCACCTTCTCTGGGTGAAGTGAGGGGAAAAAAAAAAAAAAGCAACTTCATCGCCTAGGCCAAGGTGATGCTCGTTTCCTACCTGCTGGTGTTGTTCAGTAATTTTCCCACCAAGGAAAGGAGATGGAGCCAATGAACAGCCTGCAATACTAGGGTTTAATCACAGGTGACCTTGCCAAGAATGTAAACAAGTTGCCTGGAAGCAATAAGCTCCATATTCCTCCAGAAATCCCTCACATCAGACTGACAACTTCTGTTCAGGCCTACTATAGAGTTGCAGTATTCAGCACCCTGCTCTGAGCAGCTGAAGTAAAACATGACCATTTTTCTAGATGCTCCATCCTGTTTATTTTTCCTTTCCTAGAGCTTTTTGGAAGCTGTCAGAACCACCTACACAAACAAACTTTTTTTTTCCATGTTATCCTTTCCTTCTGAAGCCCTTTAGGCAGCTAGAGCAGTTTTACCTTACCCACCCCACCAGAGAATGACCACGCAGACCAGATCGGATCCATGAAGAACGAGGAAACTTTGTGCTGGCTATGGCCCATAGCAGGTTGTTTTGCACTGTTAAGTGTTCAGTGGTATCATGACTAAAGGGGCTTGTTTTCCTTAATTGCAGACAGGACATCGAGCAGCAGCTCGGCTCCCTGATCTTGGCAACAGACATCAACAGACAGAACGAGTTCTTGATCCGCCTGAAGTCTCACCTTGACAATCAGGATTTGAGGCTGGAGGATGCACAAGACAGACATTTTATGCTTCAGGTAACTTTTAAAATTATTTTTTTCCACTATTGTTTTCTTACTCATTTTTCAAGTCATGCTATTTCCCTGTACACGTTAGAATAACATAGGGATAGTGTTTCTGAACAACAGCACTGCCTTACCTAGTGTCATAATCACTTTGCTTCTGCCACCTGGCATGTCAGACAAGCATAAGGTGCCTCTCATGTTTCCTTATGTGAGCTCCTTGAGTTAAAAAGCTGGCAATGCAACAGATGGAGGAGAGTGCCATATGCTGAGAAATGATGATAAGCCACTAATTATTTTATTTCCAGAACACTACATTTCTTCCCAGGTAATGCCTCGATTTTATTCTCCCTATGACAAGTGTCACTTCAGTGGTGTTATTTCCTAGTGATGGGCAGGAGAGCAGCACCCTTCTTGGTGCTCTTCCAAGGCAGGCTGACACCAGGTGCCCAAGCCCTGGTCCTGCGACTGATGTTCAGAAAGTGCTGCTGCAGAGGCAGCTGTTGCCATGGCAGCAGGGGCTTCGCCATTGAATCATAGCTAATGAAGAAACCATGTTTTATTTAAAAATCAAATAGATTCTCCCAGCTAAGCTGCAGTCATTAACAGGCCCTTCAGAATAAACCTCTACCTATTAAAGCATTATTGGGATTAAAGTAGCTGTATATACATGCTTCTGGGGAGAACTGACATCAATTTCCCTCTTAAGTGCACAAAGGAGTTAAAGTGAGCGTTGTCATTTACAAAACAAACATCTACACGTTATCACTTTGTTGAGGTTACGGGAAAGGTGACAGCTGCAGGGAAAGAAGTGCTGATCTGTTAATTCTTCCCCCTCCAGAAGCGTGGGAAATGTAGCAATCTGCTCGTGTGTCCTCCAAGAAACACGGCCTTCTGTCAGATTCCTGCACGGCCTGTGCAGGGCAGGATGATGGGTTTATCATATTTCTGGACAGATTAGGCAAGAAAGTTGTGCAAATGCCAGAGGCACAGGGATTACAGATCTCAACTATGGTAAAAAAAATTCCTCGTGCACTTTCTTGAAGACAGATAAAAACTCGGACAGAGACATAGTGAGATTTACTTGTTTGGTGGATTATTTGTGGAAGAAAAAAAAAATCAAGAATTCTAGACTGGTCAGGATATGTTAAAGAATGGCTGGAATGCTCTTTTAAGTACACAGTAACATTAAGGCTAATCAATTTAATCCAGAAAGAAAAGTGACTTTGGAGACTTCCCTCCTCCAGTTCACAGGTCTGAATTTATACAGGAAATATTTCTTATGTTTTCCTCTCCGGGTGCCAGAATGAATTCTGTCCTCTGTCAAACTAACTGACTGTGTTCGGTCTATCTAGGAAGAAGTGAGGTACACAACATCTTGTTCCAAGGCAGTAATGGATGGACCATTACATAGCTCACTTTATGAAGCAGTTACATGATTTTAAAATTCTTTTGCCCTCCTGTACTCATTCCCCTACAAAGCACTTAATAGCCCTGGTTAACTAAGTGAAACCAAGCCAGAGGCGGTGCACAGGGCCCTGTGCTTTGTAAGGAAAAGCACGTGGACATTAAAATGAAGTGTAGCTGAAGTGAGATGCAAGGTCACTCACTGAGACCACAGAGGAACGACGCCCAAACAGCCTTACACCAGCTTGGCTCTTCCTTCCCTCATCATCACTCACGGATGCTGAGCCAGGCAATCGGCAGGAGCCAACCTGAAGCTTTTGTTGGCTTACTCCTTACGAGGGATATCCAAAAGACTTTGCCATCTTGGAATTTGGCCCTCCTCTTGTTCTCACTACAGTAAAGCAGAGGGCTGAATGAAAGGTTTGTTTGCAGCTTAAGTAAATGCTCTTTCCTCAAAAGACAGCTTTGGGTGAGGCTCAGTATCCAAAAGGTGATCTTAACCCTTCCCACCATCACTGGTGAGGCCTGAGAGTTTCACGACCGTTGGAAGCCCTGCTAGATAACTTCTTGTCTCACCTCTGCTTTTCCCCTTTGCTTTCAGATTGCGCTCAAGTGTGCTGACATCTGCAACCCATGCCGGCTGTGGGACCTGAGCAAACAGTGGAGCGAGCGAGTCTGCGAGGAGTTCTACCGGCAAGGTCAGCCCCTTCCCCGCCTGCTCTCAGGCACGGTGTGCAGCAGGACAGAGGGCTGACCCTGGCAGGGAGCGTTCAGCCCTTTGCCTTGAAATCTCCCCCAAGGACAAGCAGTTGCACGGACACGCTGCCTCATCTGGAAAGGAAGGCGGAGCAGAGGAGCAGTGAGGATTTACGTGACCCAGCTGCTCTTCTAGCAGGAGGGAGGCAGAGCTGTGCCGTGCCTCAGCTCTTGAATTTTGCTGAAGAGCCCACGGCTTGGTTCCTCGCTGAGAACCCTCCAGCCGTCGTTAGCTCTTGTGAGCTGAAACTGCGCCAGCATCATACTGCTAGTGACTGCATTTTATCTCACTTTTCAGACTCACAACTCCTACAGGAGGCTCAGCCTCCGTGTTTCCCAGATATGACACACTCTTCTGCATAGAAACACAGAGAAAGAGTTCAAATTCAGTTCCCAGCACAGTAAGCTTCCCTAACATGTTTCAAATGGCCAAAGTAGGCAAGCCAACGCTCTGCTAGAACCTATTGCAAATGCTTTCAGACCCCTGCAGAGAGCTCAGTCATGCAGGGCCTTTTTTAAACACAGTAATTGCACCATTTGGCTCTATCTGCATAGGCAAGGTCATGCTGTGCTACAACACGGACAGGGTGCAGCAGAGTTTAATCACTGCTAAATTCTTTGTTTGCAGCATCCTGAGAGCCTAAGGCAAGTGGTACAAACACTGGAAGAGCACACAATGAAGTACTCAATTCACTTAAAACTCTGCAGTACTGAGTTAAGCCACATTTGGGCTGGTACCTAGTACAGTTAGTCCGGAACATTAACGAACAAGGACAAATAGTTCAACAAGTTAATTTTTAGCCAGCATCAGTTCAAGCTGGTGAAACATCTTTGATGCTTTTGAAGCAACATAAGCAACTTGCAAGATGCAGGTTTATTTAGTCAGATGTATAGCCAAGGCATAATCAATATCTAACATGAGGACAGGGTCCCAGTTGTCTGAAATCTCACCATTGGAGGGTACTGAGGGACAATGCTGTGAAAGACAGCAATCTCAGCTCTTACAAACTTATGCTTTTTCCCTAAGACTCAAGATGCATTAGTAAAACTTCTATAACATACCTCTGAAAGGGGACACAGGAGCATACAAGACCAGTTAGAGATGTAACAAGGGGGAAAAGGGCAATTATGTGGGAGAACCTACAGAAGCAATGGTTTGACTGTCACTTAAAAACATATTCTTGTAGACCTCGCTACCCCCTTACACACAATGCTGAGGCACAAAGGTATTTTTTTGTCACTAAGGTTGGTATTTGGAAACCATAGCTCTTATGGTCGGAATTTTAACTGTAGATGAAGCAGATAATTAATGTATTGATTAATCTTCCTGCTGTATACAGAAGTTTGAATTTTTTTTTTGTATGAAATGTTTCTAATGCCATTTAAATAGACTCAAACCCTGATTTTCCAATCATCTGGTGCATCTACACCTATCAGTAAATAAAATATACACATCAGTTAGATTTCAGGGAGCAGCTGATCCTTACAACAATTCCTAACGCAGACCTTTCATAGAAAAATAGCTTAACCTGATCCTAAGAAATTCGAGCATCTCAGTACAGCAAAAACCTTGAAAGTGGATCATTTGAATGGGCATTTCAAAAGTCAGTTAGGAACAGAGGGAACATAATGCAACTTGATTTGTTTACAAAAAGCTGGAATTGGCAAGGAACAAGATTCAAGAAAATGGCTCATGTTTAAACAACATTCATGCTCAGTTTCTCTAGAGGTTGTAACATTGGTTGAAAGGTTTCCCCCAGCGTGAGAGTTCTCAGCAACCAATTCATGCAGTTACTTTTCTAGCAACTTGGAACACAAAAAAAAAAAAAAAATGACCATCCCTTAAGTTCTTACCATGCTAAGAAAAATTTTGTCTTTCTCAATTAAATGGTTTGTCAAAGACAAGATGTTGGTACAGTTTGAGCCATACATGCAAACCGTTTGGAACCCAGCATACTTACATCACTGGAGTTCTCTTTTATCTGTCAAAGATTTCTTGAAGTGGGTAGAAGAGAAGAAGAGAACAAACAAGCTGCACATTTGGAAACATAAACTCACTTTGTCTCAGTGTTGATGAATAGTTCCTTTTGATTGTTTGTGAAGCTCAAAACATTTCCCTGGTATTTCCTAAATATCTAGTTAAAACTGAAAATACGCCCCTCACTTACATTTAAGAAGCTATTTCATGCTGCAGGGAGGAGAAGGGGAAAGCTTAAAAATGCACATAGTATGTACTGGGCTATAGAGGCCAACCAGCACTAAACCATTTAAGTCAAAAATCAGAGGGGACAATTAAAAAAAGCTTCTAAACAAAATCAGTGGATTTGAAGCAAAATGTTTATTTTGAGGTTGAATGTAATGTTTTGTCTGATTTATGGGAATGTTTCTTCTAAACAGCACTCACAACATCCTTATTAGTAAATATACTAGTAAATAAAAAGGACAAGCAGCACAGCTTAGCTTATAGGTAGCAGGTCTCATCCCTCCCATACGGTGGCTAGGAAAGGGTCCGTACTGCCAGGCTCCATTGAGCTGGCCTTTAACAACAATTTTCACAAGCACACAAGAGCAACTCACACAACCATACTAACCAAGATGAGGATTTTTTTTCTAGAATATGTTTTCTGCAGTTTTCTAGTAGTAAGCGAGAGAGGCTATTTTTAAAATGAAGGTCCTCAGAACACTTAAGTGCTCACATTTAAAGTTCTTTCAAAACTCACCTTTCCTTAGAGATATTTTTCTTTCTATGCTTGCTTAGTTTCTCTGATGCTTAAAAAAAAAAGTCCAAAAAATGAAAGTACTTAGACATCTAACATGGTTTTCATTGGTGCAAGACTACAACTGATTAAATCCACATAGTTGCAGTCACCGTACAAGTCTGATGTAGGTATGGAGAACAGACATAAATGGCAGCAAATTATTTTCTTTTTACATTGTAGGTGACCTGGAACAAAAATTTGAACTGGAAATAAGTCCTCTTTGTAATCAGCAGAAGGATACAATACCAAGCATACAAATAGGTAAGTTTTAGCTTCATCCTGTTCTCTTCATGTTTATCACAGTATGGCACAAGCTCAAACAGAAACTGAAACACGATATGCAATAAAATCCATCTGTGACATAAACCCAGTGAATCAACAGCCAAGGTCAACTTTGTGAATCCCGAACACTTGATCTAGGATTGACTTCATGAAATGACACATGACCTTACCTCGAGGATGATCAGCCAGGTGCAAGCGTATTTCAACGGAGCAGTTATTTGTGATGATGAGAGAAAACATCCCCACAACAGTTGAGCATACTGAGAAGCCTTCCAGTTTAAAGTGGTGTCACCATTATTTTTCTGTCCAGTTTCCCACAGATTCTTCATAAAACACTCCATATCACAATGCTCCTGCAGTAGCAGGTTGCTGCAGAATTGGGTGCAGGTGAAAAGATGACTGATTCATTAAGAGCCTTTAGACCATATTCATTGTTTCCCTAGTAGCAGTTCTCTGGAGATTTAGGGGCAAGAAGTCAGGACACAAGTTTTTCCATCTTCCCATCTTTTTTTCAACGCTTTAACTTGTCCTCCACAAACACTGTAGAGCACTGAGCAATTTTCACTTCTCCCCTCATGTTGCACCTTGGCATCCCCACAGCCTCCCTGTGCAGGACAGCAGATTGATCTCAAGCAGGGAGCATGACCCCAGGGCAGTGTTTGCAGAAAACTCTCAGCAGCCCAGTGGTTAGCTTGCAGTTGGTGTTCCCATAAATGTATCTGCAGTTTCACACCATATGCAGAGGATGCTAAGTGGACAGCTGTGTAGTCATACAATACTACCTGTCTCACAGCTGAACAAATGCTGCTAAGGTGTTCATCTTCCTTTCCTCCTGCCAGAAAAAATGAGGCAAAAGCAATGATTTAAAAGAAATTGTCTGATAATAGATAATACTGGTGGGCTTTTTCTCACACATAATTGCTTGGGCAAAGCTGATTCACTTTACCAGAGAGATCAGGTTCAGCTTAACTGATGTAAAAACTTTACTGCAGCTAGGTTCAAACACCCAATAAAACTTAAACAGGGCTCATCCACATAAATAATTCATTTAGGAGCAGCAAAAAAATATATATATATATATACAGCAAAGTTAGCCACAGCTTACAGTTTAGAGCCACCTCAGGTCACAGCGACCCACCCTGAGCTTCCCCCAGTCCCACCTGCACTGCTCACTCCCCATGAAGCTGCACAGTTTCTCTTCCATTCATGCTGGCAACTCAGCTAACAGTCCTGACATGGACGTCAATGTTCTTTAACTAGAAGAACCTGGCAGACCTCAGACACCAGCCACAGGGTTTGCAGCAATCCCCAGATAGCAATTTCATTTTGTGTCAGGCCTGTCCAGCCATTTCACAATTATAAACCCAACCATATAAAGGTTACAGCAGCCTACAGACACGTAAGACATGATGTGCAAATAAACGTACTACATTTTCTCTGTACCCATACAACAAGAAAACAGCTGTTTTTAAAACATTTGTTTTTTTCTGAGCTCCTTTTTGTTGGAATCAAACTGCAGTTTGAATCCTAAAAGTGTTTTCATTTGTTTTCTTCTATCAAAGAGATTTTGTAACAATTCACTTAAATACAAGCCACCCCTGCATAGAGTAGGTGTTGTCGGCTGTACTCGTACAAAAGCCAACCCGAAGTTAAAGCCATTCCCCTGTGGGTCAGAATAGACAAACCTTTCTGACGCAGAGAAGCTGTGGCATAGTCTTCCCATGTGACAGTAAAGGTCAGCGCACAAATTTCAAGCACTGTCCTTGTCTGCACTCTGCAGTACAAAAGGCATCTATGACATACAGCGTAGCATACAGAAGCCCTCAAGTTAATACACGCCTGGAAAGCTCTGGAATGGGAAGCAGAATAGCCACAGCAGCACTCACTGCTTTTGTAGTGATAACCTCAGGTACATGATGGTGCCCAGACACCACTACAGCCCATTCTCAGCTCTCTCAACCTAAATAAAAAAGAAACCTGTCCAAACCAACCATTCAATAAAAAGAATCATTACATAGGAAAAAAGGGGTCATTCTAATATGTATGGGAAAAAATCACAACCATCACATGTGATTGTACATAGGTTACTTTCTAATTTGAAATCTCAGAGTAGGATGGTCTCTGACTTTATTTACACATACAGATAGATCCAGACCTTCATTATATGCGCTGGTCAGAAGTCGCCAGTTTCAAGAGGAGCTGACAACTGCTGGAGGGTTTATTGTTACTTCTCTTCAAGGTTTTTGCTACTTGTATTGCTGTATTCTCTTGAGGCACTCTCTGGGGAAATGCCCTCGGAATGAATTTGTTCCTCACCTGCTGTACTTTCTTTCCCCAGGGTTCATGACGTACATTGTAGAGCCACTCTTTGAGAGGTGGGCCCAGTTTACAGGAGATACCCCCTTATCTGAAAATATGCTAAACCATCTCAGGAGGAACAAGGCCAAGTGGAGGAGTTTGCTCCATAAGCAACACAGCAGTAGTAGGAGCAATGACCACTCAGGTCAAGTGACTGGCAGCCAGGAACAGACTTTAAATGAAGAAGAGACTCCTTAGTGGCAGCTTTGCACTTTTCCTTATAGCACTGCTATCTCTGTCTTGATCACAGCAGCAAGCAAAACCCCGGGGAGCTAAGAGCCTGTTGTCAAGACCACGGAAAGGGAAGAAACAGCAAAGCAGAAGCTGTAAGGGTCCTCATGAACAAACCCACGGTTCTGCTGGGTTCCTTTCTGGATCTCCTTCATCTTCCTCTCCCCCTCTTCGTTCTGCGCATGCCTGATGCCATTCGTCACTTCTGATCACGAACTGCCTGAATGCGGAGTCCCAGCCAGCAGTACTGAAGCCGGGCCAGTTACTGCTGCCATGAAGCAGGGAAGATTACTGAGAAAACAGAGGAGATAGTGGCACTCTTGGTTATGTATTCATTTACCATGAGTCATACTGTGACATATGTATATAGGCCCAGAGCACCATACACTTTCCAGTCTGGCAGCTGGGCTGCACATTAAACCACCAGCATCTTCAGAACCCAGAGGACACTGGTTGAGTGAGACAGCGCTCACAGAGGGCAGAGAGAATCTGGTTATTTTAGTAATTAAAATAAAAACCTTTTTAACTTTTGTATTCTGTGCACTAAACAGATCTATAAACCTTGGACTGAAGTTTCTCTCCATATACACAACTCCAGTGTAACAAGGCTCATTTTGGTAATCATTTTTATGCCACTTTGGATAAAAGACAGGCATCTTCTCGTTGCAAGGAACAGTATTCCCTCGCAAATGAAAGGGAAGGTGTTGTACAGTCTAAACCTTTAAAACATGAACAGATCTATCTTTTGAGTACTGTTTCAAGTAACATGTTTATATTCATACGTGTACATTTTCTGTAAATACGAAGCGCTACTGATTCCCATGCCAAAATACTGGAGTACTGTGGGATTGCTACCTGTAAAAACATTGGCACTGTGAACAGAATACTGTTAGTTTTAATACAAGAGAAAGCATTTGTAAATATGGTATAGAGTTTATTAATATACACCATTGTTTGTGGATAAAAGCCTTAACTTTTAGCATCCTTCATTTTCTGATAGCTGCCAAAACCATACGATTATGATTCTGAACTGCCTTTCCACTATCAAAGGTGTATCAAAGGTCATTAAGGAATGAAGTCTGGCAGGATAACTTCTTGAAAACTTCAAACACATTCCATATGGGTCCGTGCTGTTAATTCATGGCACCTTGCACATTCAGTCTAGGCAAATGCTTCACAGAGCCTGAAGTTTAAGTTCAAAAAAAAAAAACAAACAGAAAGGTAAAAGCCAAAACCCCACAGCAACACCACATAATATGACAATTCAACACAACTAACATTTATTCTAGAGTGTGAATTTCTATTAAATAGCATAGTGATCTACAAAGCACGACATTCTAGTAATTCTGGAGTCCGATTGTTTTCTCGAGTGATGTTGTAGTGTAGCTGATATTCTCCCCCACATTCCCTACTTAGATAGCTGGCATCTAAATGCATTTATATTTTTTTTTTATTTAAAAAATAAAACAAAAAAACTTCAACTGACTGCTAGATCTGTCTCACTCACTGAAGGAAATAAAATACTTTCCAGGCAGTCTGTTAAGAAAAATCCTTTTAACTACCGTAATAGCTGAGGAATTCTATGAACCCTATGTTCTCTTTGTTTTTGAAAGATACATGGCCTTATCTATGTCATAACCTCAGATCAGATATTCTTCTGTAAAGCTTTCCTTAAGCTTCAATCGTTTCAATGAAATTGCATTCTTGGACACTACTGTATTGCACCAAAGTGATTGTCCTCTCCCCTGCCCCCAGAAAAAACTAATTGTATTCAGTCAAAGTGCAATGTTGTTGTAAGCCCCCAGTACATCAAATCAGCAAAACTCTTTTACAAAATATCTGTCCATATAATCATGTTTGGACACGATTACTTTGGACAGGCCAACAAAGAAAGCACTTAAATAGAAACTAGAAGGTGTTTGAGAAAGATAATGCTCACTTAAAGAAGTGCAAGGGAGATGTAGAATTTTTTTCCATTGCAGGGAACATTGACTTTGTTAGACAAAGTTTTTGTGTGCATAAGGTGACTAATATGTTTAAAGGAAAACAAAAACCATAAGGTTTAGTAAGGGATGTTTTAGTCTACTAATTTATTGGACATGTATCTTCAGAGAAAGGGACTGAAATCCAGTGAAATAGGAAGGTGAAATCACTAACTATGAGAAAACAAAGCATCTTGGGAGAGATGCTTTTCTTCTCCTCTACCATTTTATAAGCTGTAAGTGGTAGAAAACCTTCCTCCCTCTTCTAAATGGGACTCACATATTAGAAGTACTATAACCATCAAAGAGAGGGAGTTGTTGTAGAATAAAATTATTTCTAACTATAGGACATAAACGCCTTTTTAACCACCTGATGGTGGGGGTGGGAGTATCACTGCTTTATGGCTTTTTAGATATATCTTTCCTTCTGACAGATTTAGGACAATTATTAGGACATTATACAAGCAGTATAATGTGCTGCCTACAAGCACTTAAGTACCTACAAAAGGATATCATTTCCCTTGTTTTGCCTTTTTACTAAGAAATTGAAGCCATTTTCCATCTAGTTCAAAGAATTTTTAAAAATGTTCTGAGGTTTAGTTAAATAAACCTGGCGTCTAGCAGCATAAAAAGCTCTTGACAGACACATTGTTGTGTTGTTCCTGAGGAGCTTCCAGAAAATAGGTCCAACAGGAGAGCTTAGTGCACATCAAGATCTGCTATAGCTACAGTACAACCAAGACCTTTTCTGTAATTAGAGCCTATGGGGCCTATTACGAGACTGCTCTCACCAAGTTAAAGCTTCCTAATAAACTTTGAAAAGCTGCTCTTAAAATGAACAGGGTTTTTTGTTGTTGTCGTTGGTTTGGTTGGTTGGGGGGTTGGGGGTTTGTTGGCTTTGGTTTTTGTGGGTTTTTTTGGCTTTTCTTTTGTTTGTTTGGGGGTGAGGGTTTGGGTACACCGAACATACTTGCTAGATTTCAATCACCTTGTCTAATGAAACAATGTTTGAAATAGGTTCAGGGTGCCTCCAGAAATGCTTCTGTAGTTGTAAGCCAAACCCATTACACAAGACTGGGTCTGGACCAATTTGCCTCAGGTGCTCTAAACAGAAGTGAACTGAAAAATTAGGCTCTGGCAGCAGATGTCTGGCAATGAGATTCATTGGGGTCTGTAAGGCAAAATGCTATTGTTTGATTCCCCATAGACGACGGCATATCAGACCTGATATGGCCAATTCAACAGCACCAGTGCTCAGTATACGCTGTTGTGATACATGCTTGGTATTCCCTGGTTTGGAGGACATTTTGGTGCTGGGATTTCTCCCCAGAATACCAACAGAATGCTGGATGAACTGAGTGGAAAAATTTATATGCAGATATATCAAGTATATGGATGTTTGTGCTGTCAGCCCTATTAGCCATTTTACAGAAAGGCCATGTAAATTATTTCTCTTTCTTACTGGGACAGTGCAGCTAAAAGGTTCTGCAGTTTTAAAATAGTTAGGCTTTTCATATATGTAATGAAGGAAGCAGAGAATCAGTAAAAACAAGAGCTTAACACACTAACTAAGCCACACAAATACAGTTCACTTGATTAAAACTCGGTTTCTTTAAATGTGGATTTTGTTTCATCAGAGACAAATTCTGTGTAAATAATTTTATTTTTCTTTTAAAAAAGAGTGGTGATAAGTGAATTTTTTAGCATGGTTAAAATAATGCATACGTATGCACTTTCATTAAGTAAAGGTTTGACCTGCCTTTGCGTTTCTAAGGGTCAACATTCTGGCCACCAACCAAAACAGGGAAAAAAAAAGGAGTATGAAAAATGTGTGCTTTTGAAAAACATAGACAGAGGAATAGGTGCCATTAAGTAGAGTCTATGGAGGATCTGCAGTTCTGTCTAACCTAGTATTGAACACGTTGATATTTTTTGTATGAAGTATTGGTTTTTGTCGGGAAAAAAAAAAAAAAAAAAAAAAAAAAAAAGCAAAGTCACAGAATGATCAGTGAGAAGGCTGCTACCACAGTAAATGGAATAAACCAGTTTTCAAACTGCATATTTATCTCACCAGCTTTTCTAAGCTCTGATTGAACTATTAGAAGTTTCCAGCAAAACAGACAGAATGCATATAAGCCCTTCCAAATCGACTCTCCTTGGAAAGGAGAAACACACAAGTAGTCACTTTTTTATTTTCAGGTATCAGTCAGGATAACATACATAATTTATAGCCTTACATTCTAAGTTACTCAGCTAAGCTGTCCATAAGTTTCTCCCATTCCCCTCCTGATGCCACCACCCCCAGCTCATGGTCTACAGAGCTAATACTTAAATTTGAATTAAGATCCTGCAAATCCAAAAAAAAAAAAAAAGACATGCCAAAACCCAAATAAAATAATAATAATATTAAAAAACACACACACGGCAAGCTTCATGCCATGAATATCATGAATATGTATCCAAAATACCTTGATTGGTGCAAACTATTATTGTATTATTTGTTTCTATAATCCATCCAATATTTTAGGTACATAAACTTTAAGTGCAGAGCATAAGTTTGACTTGGATGTAAAATATATTCTGCTTATCTTTGAATTCAAGATTGTATATGTCATGTTTATTGTAAAGCATTTTATATATACATATTCACATATCTTGTACAACTCTACGGGCCAAACACTGGTCCCACCAACTTCACTGGGACCAAGAATCAGCCCCCATATGTGCGTATATATGCCATATGCATCATTCTGAAAGGAAGCACTAGATTGTGTGAAAATGCTGTGACTGCTATGCAGTGATGCCAAGAGACTTAACTGTACCTTTTTTAACATACTGCTGTAAGTATTCATCATGTCAAAGAATGACAACTAATAAATAAATAAACAAAAAAGAAAGTGTCCAAAGTTCTTTGGTATAACCAGTTGATTAGAAAGCATGTCCTTAATTTGCTGAAGACACTGGATTGTCAAGACAGCAAAACTTCTGTTGCCATCCTCCCACTGCCTCGCCTTCCTACCAACAGAGAAATCATGTCTGTTGCACTGTTTCTGAAATGAACTTCTGTCTAAATTCACCCTTAGCTTTGCTCTAGGGATGGAGTGCAAATGGATTTACCACTAAAGAAAGTATTTCTGTATCTTTCTCTTAAATATACAGTGGAAGGATTTTCAAACCTCAGGGAAAACATTTCCCTGTTTAAGTATTTAAATAACAGGGAGTTGTCTTTTACTATTGTTTCGGTCAGCATGGATTCACCAAGGGGAAATCATTCCTGACCAACCTCATAAGCTTCTATAATGAAACCACCAGCCTGATGAACAAGGGGGTAGCCGTGAATACTGTCTTCCTGGACTTCAGTAAGTTTGGACTTTCCCCTGTAGGATCCTCATAGAGAAGCTGCTGATGTATGGGCTGGATGAGCAAACAGGGAGGTGGATCCAAAACTCTGAACAGCCAGGTCCAGAGCGTAGTAGTCAGTGGTGCAAAGTCTAGCTGGAGGCCAGAAACGAGTACCCCAGTGATCAATATGGGCTCTAGTCCTGTTTAACATCTCCATTAATGATCTGGACAATGTAAGAGTGCACCCTCAGCATATTCACACAAACGACACAAAGTCAGACATGGGAGACTGACAAGAAGGCCATCCACCGGGACTTTGACAGTCTGAAGAGGTGGGCTGACAAGAATCTCACGAAGTTCAACAGGGAGAAGCACAGAGTCCTGAACCTGGGGAGGAACAAACCCAGCACCAGAACATGCTGGGGGCAACCCAATTCTGCAGTAAAGGAGCTGGGAGTCCTGGGAGTCACCAGGTTGCATGAGTCAACAATGGGCCCTTGCTGCCAGTATTCTTGGCTGCGTTAGGCAAAGCATAGGCAGCGGGTCAAGAGAAGTGATCCTTCCCCTCTACTTAGCATTGGTGAGGCCACATCTAGCGTACTGTCTCATTCTGGGCTACCCAATACAAAAGAGACATGGACATACTGGAAAGAGTCCCCCAGAGGGCTACTAAGATACCAAGGGACTTCAGCATCTCTCCTATGTTGAGTGTCAGGAAGAATTGGATCTGTTTAGTCTGGAAAAGAGGCTCAGGGGAAGAATCTTATTAGTGTGTATAAATACCTGAAGGGAGGGCGCAATGAAGACAGAGCCAGGCTCTTTTCAATGATGCCCAGTGCCAGGAGAAGAGGCTGTGGGTACAAACTGAAACACAGGAGGTTCCATATGAACACCAGGCAGCACGTCTTTACCTTGCGGGTGATGGACCACTGGCACAGGTTGCCCAGAAATGTGGAGTCTCCCTCCTTGGAGATCTTCAGAAGCTGCCTGGACAGTACTGGGCACCCTGTTCTGGGTGTCTCTGCTTGAGAAGGGGGGTTGATCCAGAAGGCCTCCAGAGGGTCTTCCAGCCTCAGCCATTCTTTTCATAGAATGGCCTGCATTGGAAGGTACCTTAAAGATCATCTAGTTCTCACCCCACTGCCACAGGCAGGGATGCCACCCACTAGATCAGGTTGACCAAGGCCCCATCCAGCCTGGCTTTGAATTCTGCAATTCTCTGGTTCAGTTCCAGTATCTAGTTCTCCTTAATATCATTGCTCAGTTTTAATTTCACTTCTCATTTGTGGACCATGTTATTTATGATACATGCAACACATATGAGCTTTGTGAACTTTAACTGAAAATATTAAAAGCATTGACATTCTCCACAGGTGCATGCTTCTAAGTGAAAAATGTTATTGTTGATAGACATTTTGCCACTTCTGGGACTCTTCTTGTTGATTTTGGTATGCTTCTAAAGGCAGAATTTATCCGTTACCTCAAAGTCTTTAGAAACAATGCTCACAGTTTGTGCAGAGCATATGCCACAACAGAGTCAAATATAGGAGCAGGAAATATCTTTGGTTTCAGTGTTATTTAGACAGTATTTTAAATGCATCCTCTGGAAGGAAAAAAAAAAAAAAAAAAAAAAAGAGAGAGAGAGAGAGAGAGAGAGAGAAAGAAATCCTTCAGAATCATAAGAAAAAGCACTTCCATATGTCCCTGAATGCAAGCTGGATTGCAGAACAGATTCTAGAAGGAAACCCCTTGGAGATCTGTCCTATATATGGATGGAGTTGTGATGGTTTCTCCAGAAGTTTTACATTGTCAGCATTGGAAAACCACTCAGAATGTTCCACAATGGATTTTAGCAGTGTTAGTTTCAATAACAGCTAAGTCAATACATCTTCCTACTGTGCATAGCCACTGTCTGTATAGATGTTGATGTTTAATGGTTCAATACAAATATAATGTAGGCTAGCATGTTGAAATGAATCACCAAACTTAACAGCAAAAGAAAAAATAATATGACTAAAAAAATAAAAATAATTGAACAGACAGATTGAGAGCTTCTGTTTTCCCAAATCCAAGCAAGGGAAAACAGAGTAAAAATTAAAAAAAAAAAAAAAAAAAAAAAAAAAAAGTGGAAGTCGCTCCGACAAAAAAAACATTTAAATTCAGCTATGTGTTTAAAGGTTAAAGGGTGCTGAACATTTACATAAACAAAAAGAAAATCCATTGATAAAAACAAGTATTACTAAAATCATAACCTTGTAGAAAATGTACTTTAAGACATAAATCAAGCTTTGGTCTAGAGCAAAACTTTCATGCCCTACTAATGCAGGTCAGGAACCGTTACAGTCCAAATCCAAAGCTTTTATTTGTATATTCAGAGGATTCCTGTGAACTTAGTTCATGCATAAGCATGTTCATGAAAGAAATGTAACTCCAAAGAAAATAAAACCAGCATTGCATCTATACATGTATTTGATACCTGGCCTCATTTCTATAACAGGACCTATCAACACCTGGAGGCAAACTCAGGGCTAGTCACTGCAGGCAATCAAAATCCAAAGAAAATAGGAAGTACTAAAACATATGGTAGATTCAGGGTCAGATTCAAGAAGATAGATTACTTTTTCCCCAAAGACTACTTTATTTGTATCTTGCACATTTTGTATTGGATAAATATATTTCAATGCAATTATTAGAAAGCAAAAAGCTTAGGAAGAAGTGTTTGCTTAGGAAAAAGTGTAGGAAGAGAGCCTGAATTTAATCTTTCTTTGCCACATCTTTCCTCTGCACGAGGTTTAAACATACCAGTATGTAACCTTGCATTACCAATAGCCTTCATTTTCTTTCTGAGCAGTTCCGCTATGTAAGCCTACATGTTTGCAGAACCTGGCCTTTCAAATATAGGATGCTTACAAAACAATCTGCCATTTTTTGCTGTTATAGCGCAAAAGTCACGTTGTACATGAAATGCTAGCTAAAGATGGAATCTATTTATTTTCACTTTGGTAACGTTTTGGAGCACTCTACTACTAGACCAGAACCCTACAAGAGATATGAACAATACTGCTATGCTGCTTCTACCACAAGTCTTCACAAAACATGCAATTTAATAACAAATTCATGTTACTTCAAAACTCAAAAGAAAACCACCACAGATCCTGTGGAGAACTAGATCTGAAAGGAAAGCATTTATTTTAATGATAAAGTAGTTCATCTCCTTCAACTTTGTGGAAAAAGTGAACCGATCAGACATAAGTATGTTTAAAAATGTATATACATTTTGCTGTTTTCTTCTGGGAAAGAGTTTACTCCTTCGCTAGTCCAACTACAGTTCATTCTTTCTGGTACCTCAGTATCATTAATTTAAAGGGAGAACTTACATCATCACTCTTGAGTTACTTGACAGCTTAGAGTTTTGCCTGTGGGTGTTATATTGCTCTCAGGAACATCTTATATAATAATGCAGATGTCATTTTTCAGCTGGCACAGCACATCTACGAACTTAAATTTTACTGAGATCCATCAGAGTATGGATTCTTCTTAAAGCTCTGCAAATCAGCAGAGTTGCACTTTCAGAAGTAGCACAGACTCCTCCCTCTGAAACGGAAAGTACTTTTAAAATGTAAAAGATAAAAATACCTTTAATAAAAAGCTGGTCTCTTTGTGAAATAACCTATGATAAATACATTAGAAAATAAACATACTTCAGAGCTTCCTGCAGGAAGTAACATAAGGAACTCCTAATTCGACTGAGAAAAAGGAAAGAGAAATAACTTCTCATTTTCTGAGAGGTAACTCAGCCAAGAAAAATCTCTTAGAAAGTTCACCTAACAGATTCATTTACCTGAGACCTGAGCTTTTAAATGTAATAAGTTTTGATCATCTAGAACTCACAGGGGGGTTTGGTGTGTTTTTTTGTTTTGTTTTGTTTTTTGGGGGGGAGGGAGAAAACAAGGTGTTCTTTATATTTCTGTACTCTGTAGAGAATTTACTTTAAAACTACTTTTTAGGTTATAGTATAGAGAACAAGTAATGAAAAACCATCACTTCCTATTGTAGATGTCACGCTCACAGTTGAAATGAACTCTCACTTAAATTATTCTAGCTTTCACTTCCTGCTACTGGTTACTATTATGTTTCTCTCTGTCAGAAAAAGAGTTTTTTAGTACCTTATTTATTATTATTTCTCTTCATGCATTCACAGCCATATCAGGTCAATGTAAACAGAAACAGACTTTCTGTTTCTGAAAAATACCAGGCACAAACTATAAATTCGCACAATTTGGAGAGAACTCCTTTATCGCTTTCCATCCAGCTGTACTAGAATGTACTCTGTTTCTGAGGACCTAATTTACTACAGTATTATCATTTGCCATCACTCCCATCTTCACTATTTCTCAAAATTAAATTATTATTATTATTTTTAATTATCCACAAATTCATTACTAAAAGCATGTTAATCTAGGTTAATCTCATTAAGCTAGAAGAATTCCCTATAATCCCAGCGGAAACACTTCCTTACTTACTATTATGTGGCATTTAATCAGTTCTACATCTATTTAACATGTATTTTATGGATAATATGAATGCTATATTTTAATTAACAATACACTTTGTATTACAGCTATTTTTTGTCAAACATAATTTAAAATATCTATTTTCTAACAAAGATACGTTAGATTAATCCAGTAATTACCTAGACTTTTCCAAAGCTGCAATAGGATCTCATCATACATATTCAATCTTTTTGCCTAGAACTAGACACATGTTAATTGACTTAAAGTTACCCATTTTACTCTACTTACAAAGAAAATTTAGATACCACAATAGTTTTCCAAGGTTTATTCAAAACAAACATACAAGGCCAAAGGCCTCCTTCAGCCAATTTCTTTAGAAATTTCAGATTCACATTGTTTAAGCATCCACAGTTCAAGGTTTGTTTGTCTTTTTATTTCACTCCTAACCATCAAGATTTAACTTATTCCTCCATTAGAAAAGAATTACTTAAAGAAGAATTGCTTAAATAGTGACTTTTTTTTTAAGTAAATACTTTTTTTTTCCCCTAAAATCTATGCATTTAGTGAGACTTCAATTCTTGTTTAATCATCTGATCAGCAATAGCTTTCAAATTAAAGCACCATTACCACACATGATGTTCATGACCCTCTACTCACATCAGATCAGCTCTTCACAATTATTTTGCTCAGTGAAGGTCTGACCACACATCACTGGTCTTGATCGTAATGGAGATCTGTATGCTAGAGAATAAGGACTTGGTTCTATGATCACAATGCAACCTCCTTCCTCCATAGCTCTTATTATGCGAGAAGGAGGTCTATGGGAAAGAAAAAGATAGCAAATTTGTACAGCTGTGTAGAAGTAGAGCAAGTTTCTGTGGGTTCCCCAGGCAACTACTAGCTTAGGGTACTCTCTAGCTCAGGCTATTCTCCTAGCAACAGCTCTACTAGCTCACAAAGCACGTAGCGGGATCTCCCTAATTCAGTTTGTTTAGCTTACCAGATGTTAATATTCCTTTATTTGTGATCTCAAAATTCTAATTCAACATTGTAAGAAACATAATACTGACAAATTAGGTTATAGAGCAGACTATTTTGTAGAGATCAGTTTCACTAGCAGCCTCTTTGTTCTAACATACAAAACACAAAGTACATGTATACTCTTCACAGCTTTAAAAAGTCTATGCCATTACTGAGAAATAACTAAAGGACTGAAGACATACTAGAAGATTTGGAGGGGAAAAAAAATAGACCCTTGTAAAACCACAACAAGCAAAACTTTATTGTAATCTGTATAAACACAGACAGGGAATACAAGAGGAATAGAAGCAAACACAACCATTTCAAAAACATTTGAATGGTCAAAAGGGCAGATAAGGAACAGGAGCTGCTGATAATGCCCACATTTCACCTGAGTCAAATCAAAGTAAAACTTCAAACTAGATATTTTTATTATTACAAAACACACTGACTTTCAGATTACTTTCCCACTATACATGCTGGTACAGTAGCTCCTAACTTAACAAAATTAAAAACAAGAACATTGAGTTTGACCTTTATTCAGAAACACTTCCTCACAAGCAAAGAGCGTAACAAAAACAGCCTGGTTTATCAAGTCTGCCTCAGTAGATGGTAGTCAAATACGGTATACAATTCAAGCAATATAATTGCTTGAAAAAGGGTAATGGAAGAAAGACAACTAAAATACCATCTGGACAAAATAAGTAACAAACTGTGGAATGCACATACAGAATAACAGCAATCTGAAAGACAAAGAAAAAACTCACCAGTAGTAGTACAGACAACCACCCTCAATGACAACTACTGTGGTTTTGTAACTTTTAAAGGATATTTCTACAGTTCTTACTACCTTAAAAAGAAGAAAAAGGAACAAATACAGTCTGTGTACTATAAGATCACAGTGCATTAAACAATAGTAAGGCAACAACACAATGTGAAGAAACTAAAACTAAGCTTACTTTGAATTTCTCTGTACTCCTTTTACCCAGCAGCTGTTGCTCAGTGGCTTGCTCTGCATTACAGCAGGTGGCTCTAATTCTGAAACACAAGGCAGAAACAGACACCTTCACTTAAATGTTGCAGCCAAGCTAAAAGCTATGTTTTATTTCTAGATTATGTTCTACAAATTCAGCAAATTATCATAAAACTAACTTCAGGAAGATGAAATCTTCCTGTTTTCAGCTTAGTCTCTTGCAGCAGACCGATGGACCATATCCCAAGTTCTTCATAGTTCAAGGTGAACTATAGTATGGTATAGGTTAGGTATGCTTATTTAATCTGGAGACAAATGCTGTGTTAAGTTCCAGTGCAGCAAGTCTGATGAAATCAATAGTGATGCAGAAGCATCAGTGAAAGTTAACGCTTTCTGCAAACTTACTCTTATTTAGTCTTAAGATTGCACCTAAATTTGTTCAAATCATTATTTACACATAAAGAGCAAAGGGTGTGCATACTGATAGGAGCAAAGTATAATCTTTCATCTGAAAAAAAAATTTAATTTTTTTATGCCAGATGGTCCCTTTGATATTGAATCAGAAAGTAGCAACATATTTTCTCTAGTAGAATCTAAAAGTTATTCATAAAAATCCATTCAATTCAGGGGCAATTCTCATTACTTAGGTACTACATCACAGACAGAAATTTTCTCCGAGTCTTTTTAACATGGGATATGAGAGGATATTTCTTCAGGAAAAGCTTTCTGCTAGAAAAGCTCTTTAATTCACCACATAAAATCTTCTGTCTGTTCTAGATGCTAAACATGGAGGGAAACGAAGTAGCAGGTTTATTTTGTGCATAAGAATAAATAAGCCTGATGTTGACTTTTTATTAATCCAAGTACAATAAACATAGTTCATTGTAACACTAGTAAATTAGAAACATGTGCCTCTACAATCTAGTGAGAATCGCTAAAAGATAAAAATATAAAGGGATTTACTGTTAGACCTATTACCGACAAAATAAAACTATTTAAATTTAAGATTTACAGCATAGATCTGGTAAAACACTGCTCTCTTGTGGTTAAGTACGTACAGTTCAGCCACAGAATATATGAAAGATTTTCATCAAATATTTTCAGAAACTTCAGAAACTTTCAGAAACTTCAAAGTTGTTTTACTCTAAGGTGTTTTTTGCTGGTAAGGGAGTTTACCACAGCCAGTTCCAACTCCACCCCTCCACGCCATGTTACTGCTGCCTAAATATGGCAATTCAGGCTCCTGCTTTTGGTTCTCTGACCCGTGGAAATTAAATACTTCTATTAGTCTTAAACAAGAGGTTTGAGTATTTCTATTCCAATATCAACAAAAATGAAAGTCTGAACACTTCTGCTCACACATGTAAATAACCTGCTCTTAGAGCCTTCTTCAGCCTTTCAGGCAAACAACCTGAACAAAAATGTAAAGAGGACTACAAATATAGCTGGAACAAATGGACTCCATTGTTTTTCTTTCAACAAATAAATCAAATCCCCATTGCAGAGGGAACAATCCTGCTGACAGGATTATTGGGAAAAATAATGAATATAAGAAGAATGGTCTTTTGATTATTATAAGTAGTTGTTAGAACTAATTCTCTAAATAAATAATGCTCTGGAAACTAACGTCTAGCACAATCAAGAATGTCTCTCAGCTGAGTAGCTAGATAATAGCTAGCTAAAACAAAGCTGTGATATTGCAAGTCAAACAACTACTCCAAACTCCAACTGCAAAACATTAACATTTGAATTTAAAGAAAAAGCTTTCTTAAACAACACAGGTTTTAGAAACCTCATTTATGCTAGGACAGCAAGTTCAAATTTTAGGTGTTTCCATGTACGTTTGAATGAATTAGGATTCATATTAACAATTAAGTGCCCAAATTTCCCAAATAGGCTCATCAAGTCTTCTGAATTAGAAATTATTCTTGACAAATTAAGTTCTCTGTTTTTCAGTCAATTATTTTCTAGTTCTGTTAAACATAGGCCAAATTACTTTATTTATTCGTAACAGAATTAAGGATACATTGGTTAGTATCAGTTATCTTATACTAATATACAGAAGATAAATGCTCTTCTATCTTTATATGTTATGTGTTATATATAATAGTTATTTTATAAACACATGCCCACAGATGAACAGACAAAACAGTCCTTTGCCAAATAATTATAGATACAAAAAATACATTATAAAATGGATGATAAATAGAAATTATTTTTTTCAGTGACTGGTATTAAAGGGAGAAAATATTTCTGAAGCACAATAATTTGAAAATAAGCTGGGCAAATAATACTAAAAAGGATAAAATATTTCCCAAATGGATACAGCTGTCTTCTTTAGCCTTTACCCACAACATAATTTTATATATTGTTGAAACTATTTCAGCCATTAGACAGCGGGCTTGTAAACAAAATGGTCTAAGCTGTACGTATGGAGCATGATGTACATGGATATAAACCACTGAAACATTTACAAACACCAGGAGATGAAAAGGCTTTTCAAGAACCCTTCCAGACTGCGCCTTACACATCACATAGAACTAAGGGAGCAAGTTCAGAGGAGGGCTAAAAAAAGATTAGAGTGGAGCATCTGTCGTACAAAGACAGGCTGAGAGTACTGGGCCTGTTTAGCCTGGAAAAGAGAAGATGGAGGAGAGACAGCATTAGTGTATATAAATATCTGAAGGAAGGGTGTCAAGAGGATGAAGTGCCAGCCCAGGAGCCATACCACAGGGTGCAGTCCTTCAGAAACACAGTGCTCCAGCATGGGCTGCTCTCCACAGAGCAGTACAGGAAGCTTCTCAGACGAAAGGAGCTTCATCTGGGGTAAAAATCAGGCACGTTTTATAACTTTTATACGTCTTACCAAAAGAAGGCATAGGACAAGGGGGAATGGTCTTAAACCAGAAGAGGATAGACTAGGCATTAGGAGGAAATTCTTCACTGTAGAAGGGTGGTGAGGCACAGGTTGCCCAGGGAAGCTGTGGATGCCCCATCCCTGGAGGTGTTCAAGGCCAGGCTGGATGGGGCCTTGGCCAAGCTGATCTGGTGGGTGACATCCCTGCCTATGGCAGGGAGGGGTTGGAGTTAGATGAGCCTTAAGGTCCCTTCCAACCCGAGCTGATCTTGGATACCAGTGTCCCCCAGGGGTCAGTACTGGGTCCAGTCTTGTTCAACTTACTCATCAGTGATCTGGATGATGGAAAGGATGTGCACCTTCAGCAAGTTTTCTGACAACACAAAGCTCGGAAGAGTGGATAATACTCCAGAGGGCTGTGCTGCCATTCAGAGGGACCTCGACAGGCTAGAAAGTTGGGCAGAGAGGAACCTCATCAGATTCAACAAGGGCAAGTGGAGGGTCCTGCACTGAGGGAGGAATAACCCCAAGCACCAGTACAGGCTGGGGGCTGACCTGCTGGAAAACAGCTCTGCAGAGAGACGTGGGGTTAATTGTGGACAGCAGGCTGACCATGGGCCAGCAATGTGCCCTTGTGGACAGGAAGGCCAATGGTATCCTGGGCTACATTCAGAAGAGTGTTGCCAGAAGGTCAAGGGAGGTCATCCCCCCACTCTACTCAGTCCTGGTGAGGCTGCACCTGGAGTATTGTGTCCAGTTCTGGGCTCTCCAGTACAAGAGGGACATGGAACTACTGGAGCGAGTACAGAGGAGGGCTACTAAGATGATGAGAGGACTGGAGCACCTTGCATACGAGGACAGGCTGAGAGATCTTCCAGGCCTGTTTGGCCTGGAAAAGAGAAGGCTGAGGAGAGATCTCATTAATGTATATAAATATCTGAGGGGAGGGTGGAGCCAGTCTCTTTTCAGCTGTGCCCAGAAACAGGACAAGAGGCAACGGGCACAGACTGAAGCACAGGAAGTTCCGGCTGAATATGAGAGGGCACTTCTTTACTGTGAGGGTGACAGAGCACCGAACAGGTTGCCCAGAGAGGCTGTGGAATCTCCTTTTCTGGAGATATTCAAAACCCACCTGAATGCCATCCTGCAAAATGTGCTCTAGATGATCCTGCTCAGCAGGGTTATTGGACTAGGTGATCTTCAGAGGTCCCTTCCAATCTCGACCATTCTGTGTTTCTTTGATGTGTCAGTCGAACTGCAAGAAACAAAACCAGAATTATTTATATAAACAGGTAAATGTAACAAGACATAGTGCATGTCTTTCTTCTTTTTATAACTTGAGTTTTTCAATCCCACAACATGTCCATTATTTTTGATAACTTTTTTTAGATTCTTCATTTTCTTACAAAATCTCTTCTATGCTTACTTTCTGATACTTGTCCATTTTTATTATGCAATTTACAGTAGCTTCAGCTTCATACTTCAACAATATCTGAAAAATGAAAGTTTCTCTCTATATACATTGGTGATTTACAGCAGGTATCCTATTCCTTCTAGTTAAGCTACATACTTCCAACACAAATCTTTGAAATTAAATTGGAAAATTTTAAGTACAGTGAGGGTCTCTGAGGGAAGCTCATATATTTATCACTATGAAATTTACCTATTTCCAGTTTCTCAGAGGCAGAACTATTTTTGTTAATTAAAGCCAGCATACTTGCTGATGAAACTGATGGTTTAAGTGTGCCTTTTTTATAATAGATGCTCTCTTCTTACTTTTAACATGTTTCTTTTATCCCATGAGGATTAATATTCTCTTTTAATAATCCATATAGTTTACAATCAGTAAATCTTGAAGGAGACAGTGTCCAAGGTAGACAGTCTGACTGTGCTAACCCAGGAAGAAATATTGAGACAAGAGTTTGGTCAGTTATCTGAATGGGATATAACTAGAAAATGTATATTCTGCAAAACATGTGCCGTTGCATGCAAGCAGTAGTGTAACAAAGGAAAAAAATTTAGTACCTTTGTTGCAGAAACATGACAATGACTTCACTTCTAAATTATACTAAATTATGTAAGTACAGCAAAAATATAACTGAATAAGAAGCACACGCCCACCTTGTGTAGATTTTATCCATGAAAAAAAGATTTTCAAAAGTTTTTGAAAAAGAAACAAAAGTTTGAGCTTTAAAATAGAACTGAAAAAGGATAGTGTGTTCCTTTAAAATACCTCCAAAGATATGAATCAGTTCAGTAGTTTGGAATTCAAACAGAATCACAAAATCAATTAGTGTCCTTTTAGTCCTATAAATCTTTTAACTACCATTTAGCCTCTACAAAGTCAATTATGAAAAGTTCACTTTAAAGGTAGTTTGAAAGAATTTGGTAATTAATGCCTAGACTTATACTTCGAAAGTTTCAGGAAGCATTTTCTGTATCTGGCAAAAATTTTCCTAAACAAGATAAAAGGGAAAAGAATGAGCTGTGGGCTGACACATGAAGAAAAATTTATGAAATGTCAGGCATATAAAGAATATAAAGCAGGATAAATAATACATGTATGTGAAAACCTGCTTGGTTTTACAGTCTTGAACCCTGTCAGTTTCCAAATTCTAGAGGTTTGTCATTAAAACTTTAAGAGAACCATCAAGCCTTCAAGCCTAAATCAAATCCCTAAAGGAACTGTTGTTCATTTCAGTTCTTTTCAAAAACCTTAGCACAATTGTCAAGATGTTTCACCTGAAGCTAGCTGACCTTGTATATTGAGTAACTTACTCTAACTGTGATTCTATAATAAGTTATTATTAAATTATGTTGAAGAACATTTTTTATATTTTATAACAAATCTTATATTTACAACATAAATTGATTTATTATAAAATCTCAATGCCTAAATGAACAGATAAAAAATAAAGTTATTATTTATTAATACTCATTAAACTATACATTCTGTATAGTTTACATACAGACTGTACATAGCAATACACTCTCAATGCCAAACTGTTCAGCATCATGAATATTAATGCCTGAGAAAGAAAAAAAATAATAATTACTAATATTAAGGACAATACTGTTCAGGAAAACAACAGTATTTTCTCACTTAGAGTTGTAATAATAAGGTCTTGCATCTTAAAACAACTCTTTAGCCACAAGTTGCTGAATCAAATCATGCCAATGACTGAGGATAATCTGAATCTCAAATTCTCACTCATTTCTCTCATCCCAGTGGGGTTATAATGCCTATTTTGACCACTAGCACTGTTACTAACCACTTATTTGCCTGCAGGGCTTACCCCAAGAGTTCAGATGAGGAAGGCAAAGTCTAACCTTTTTAACCTTTGTCAATTAGGTTTTTGCAAGAGCCCCATATATAATTATTTTAGTAGGACTAAAGAACAATGTAATCAGTTCCTGAAAAGAGCAATAGACTGAGGGCAGCAGATACTGTTGCATATTCTCAGCTGTGCTTTTCCCCCATACTCTGTAGCTAAAACGGCAGACATAACAAGTTACATTTAAGTTGTTCGTCACAGGTAATAAGTATCAAGACAGGTCTTCTATTTTACGGGAATTTGTCAGCAAAAGTGATATTCTTACAGTTCAGGTAATTTAATTCTGAGTCTCCTCACCCAACCCCTGTATTGCCAGGAGTTGTATTGCCATTGAGCAGTTCATCCAGGGACCACATGTAGGCAAGTTTATTTGTAGGTAAGCAGGGCACGGATAACCTTAGACAACATCAAGTTGCTTCCAAGCTGTTGATACAGATGTTCTGGTAAAAAAAGATAAGATGATTCATTCTGAAAGGGAGAAAAATCTCTTCTGCAATGGGTGCTTGCATTTTCATTACTGACCATCACTAAATTTTGCAACTTCTTTATATTGAAACTGTCAGATGCTAGTAGTTATCTCTCCCAAACTTCTCAAGGTACGCCAGGGTTCATCACCTCATCAAATTTACAGCTAGAACTACGTAAAATAAAGAATCTGTTCTCTTAACATACATAGGCAGTGCATAGCTGGGGAACAAAAAATCCAACACAGGACCATGACTTTCCCCCACACCTCTAAGGAAGTGTATTAACTGTACAGACTACTACAAAGTAGTAGCACAATTCACTTTGACACAAAAATCAGAGATACTACCCAATAACCTGGAGGGCCAAACAGCTCATTAAAATTTCTAGATGCTTCTGAAGTCTGGCACTAGATACTTGGCTTAAGTGACATCAAGAGAAATTGTGGGGATAATTCCTTTCTAAAGTTCTGGGAATCCACTTTCAAATCCCAAATCCCTGCTGTGAACTGCAGTCTGGAGAGAACAGAAGATATACACACAGAGTCCGAAATAATAGTTCTTCCCAAAGAAAAGAAACTACTGATCACATAAAGCAATTGACATAGAAAAGACTACACTGTCCAGAGCTTTCCAGATTTACAAGTCTCTCAGCAGGAATTCCACCTTAGCATTTGTCAGTCTCAAGAGAATGGTCACAAACGCAGGGAGCCCCTGGCTCTACGGAGGCTGGCATAGCAGAAGAGGGAGCTTGCTCCACCTCTTCACACTTCATATGCTGAAAAAAAGGGAGCGCTTTCACAAGCTTTACTCTCAACAGGACCCCCTTGCCCTCATATCCTTTTTTGCAGGTGCCCATGGACTTCCTTCACAGTTGTTCCCTGCTGCCCTAGTATTTCAGAGACCAGAGCAGCAGACAAAAGACAACAGAGAGCTTTGATAGAAGAGGTTAAGATTACTAAGCAGAGGGCCAAGCTGGCTATTCTGTGAGGATTTCACAGCAGTTCTGAGGCTTAGGTAGAGAATGTAGAAAATGTGTATTTTAAAAGCAGAGAGAAAGGTAAGGGCAGGCTGTTACGGACTGCAAAAGGAATGAGAGAACATAATAAAGAATAAAAATTACTAAATTCAAGAAAAAAACATATAGGAGACATGATTTAAAAAATGAAGTATTTGTTGTGGTTAAGCACCCAGCCTCACAGCTGAAAACAGAACAACAGTTAAATCATGAGCTCCAATTTTAGTCAAAAGGTAACTTCTGGAATTAAAACAAAAGTATGGGATTTGAACAGTTGCCTCTAGTAATTGTACAAATAAGACTTGGCAGTAACAGGGAATCCAGACGTCATTCTATTCTGTGTAGGGGTAGGGATACAGAAGGTGCATGGTACATACAAGGGACACAATCCACAGTTCAATTGATAATGGATCATTAGACAAAAGATTAAGTGAAGGCAGCTATTGTAAGCAGTGGATCACAACAAATTTGTAAATAAGAGACTCCAAGGCCTCTAACAGGAAAAAAGTAAGCTCTTTATTTTATCTAAAATAAAGTAGTCTTCTAATATGGTCAGCTCTTAAGATACAAGACTCCACAACACAAAATGTCACTATCACACACATCTGTGATACAAAGGAAATTTTATTTTATAAACTCTGTGAACGAAACAGACTTTATACAGAAAAGCCAGAGAGATGATACAATTAATGTTCATTTACATGTGGAATTTAGACTATGTGCTAGCAGATGTCTCTACAAGGTCTTTTTTTGTCTCAAAAGAAAAACTCCTCCACACGATAAGCATTTAACAGACAGCGTGTAGCATACTTACAGCAAGACAAAATTTCACAAACATGAAAGTTTCTCTACTGACTCAAGACAAATTAGAACACTGCTTGCACATGAAATAAGGAGTCACATTAGCAGACTGCAAAGAAAACTGAGGAAACTTTATCACAGTGTTAGCTACCATTAGTTATATACAGTCAGCTATACAAATACAGTCCAGAAGTTTATACATCTTCAGTATTTACAGTGAAGTACAGAGACAGTGCTCACCTAAGCTGCCACACAAATAATTACTTTTCTTTCACAAACATTTCTTTCCTGTATTTCTCAGTTTCCCAGGTTTCAGACACAGTGCTCTACAGTAACAAAACCCTTTTTTTGGTTGTGTGCTTCTCACAAAGCATCACATTCATCAGTTTGGCTGCTGGGAAACTAAGGAGAAGGAAGAGGCAGTTTTACAAGCCCTACAACCCAAACATTAACAGCATAAGACAGATACATTCTAGAACATATTACAGCAGTTTCACAGAGTGGGCCTGCCACTTACACACACACTACAAAGTTTCCTCAGAAATCTCCATCAGTTAAATATGAGCTCTCACTTTCCACGTTGATACTTTAACTTCATCAGTTCTCACGAGGCTAGAATTTGCACTTGATTTCAGGCTGCAACGTCCAACCTGGCCAGGAGGGATGGAATTAGATAAAATTATATCCAAGACAACTGAATGAGAAGCTGTTTACGATAAAGGCAGTTTGGGAGAATTTATGCACTTCACTTAATCTAGGAAGAATAAGATAAACCCAATAAATTGCTTTACATTCATTTTTCTTCAGAACACTCAAGGATAAACAATTAAAATAAGCATGATCTTGCAATCAAGCCCCTGTTTCAACCAGAAAAGCCCATCTTCCTTCATCTGCTCCTGAACATGCTGGCCTTAATCAGTCCCTCTTCCAGACTATAATTTAACTTAGAACCTGGAACAAAAGAAGATTCATAAACACGCCCTTCCAGGATCTAACTTCAATCTTCATATCTAGAATCAGGTATGTTAGCTACACAATGCAATGGTCTGTTGCATCCAAAACACAAGCCTGGCTGTTTTGTTTGCTTGCTTTTTACAAGTTTCAGATTTTTCCTTAAAAAAATTTAAAAAATAAAAAATCACAGGGAAATTTATATAGGCTGTACAAGAGAGGATGATTCATTACAGTGCATAAGATAAAAGCTATGTTTTCCTCGCAAAAATCTTTGTGCCAGCTAAAGTTTTTCAAAGAATCGTTACAGCAGGAAAAAGAAACACACATCTTAGTTTTCTTCAAATTGTCAGTCATGCAACTAGCCATGAGTATAGCTACAGCCTTCAAAGAATGGCTGGATTTCCACCACATGCTTTCCAATACTATTTTTCTCCATTAGGCTATTAAAAAGAAAAAAAAAAAAAAACACACAGTGCCAAATAAGATTCTGTATCTTGCTCATTTCACAGATGAAAAGATGTAATTGCTAAGCAGAGAGAGATGCTTTAAATTACTTCCACCTATTTCTGTCTGTCTCATCTAAGCAGCTCTGGGGTTTACAGATGTCTCTAGTGAATAACCACCAGTACCCGCTGGACTGCAGAAGTTAAAGTAGCTTGCGGACTGCTCTACAGAAACCAGCATCTTGTTCATAGCAAAGAACTGGATTTTCCAGGGGTTCTGCAACAATGTTCAGAATAAAAGATGCAGAGCATGTGGAAATGATGCTTGCACAAGAGGGAAGATACTAAACCCAACGCTTTAATTTTGTTTTCTGAACACTCAGCACATGCTAGGCAGACTTCTGTTACCTTCCTGGCATCTTGATT